AAGGCCACAGGCAGCCCTGGGCCATCACACGCTACAGGCCCCCAAGCACCGTGCTTCTTCATGAGGTCGCACTGAGCCCCCCCGTGGGCTTACAGGTTCCCCATGAGGTCACACAGCACCCACTGACAGAGGCCTCCGTCAACCACCAGCCCATCCCCCGAGGTCACATCTGACTCAGCCAGTGTCACCTCTGCTCCTTCACTGCTCACGCTAAGGTCCAGGCTTGGACAGCGAGCACCTGGCTCCCCCAGGGAGGTCACAGGGAGCTCAGCCAACCAGCACGCCCCTGCCCCGTGGGGTCATGCCCTCTCACCGTGACATCAGAGTGCAGGTGCCTCGAGGAGAGCGCCCAGCTGGGGGCTCCCACCACACGGCAGGACAGCGCAATTACACCTCCCCCAGACCTCCACCATCACCATCTTAGAAAGGTCTCCCTCAGCTTCTTTCAGGCCAGAAATTTAAGAGCAAGTCTTACTTTTTTTTTTGAAGACATGAGGGCACCATGCCAGGGGCTCAGTAAAACACTCCCCATAGACCCTTTCCCAGACTTCTCCAGAAGAGAACAAGAGGGCTTGTTTTCCAGCTCTCTGAACCTTCTTCTCATGCTCTTCCAGACTCTCCAACCCAGACCACGTCCTCTAGCAGTCAGCACCACATGACAGTTTACACTGCTTACTGCCCTGGGGATGGGCACCACCTTCATCACAGCTTCACCCCACTACAGGCCTTTCCTGCAGCAGGGTCCTTTATCTTAAAAGGTGGCACCAAAGGATTTGGGTCAGGCACATCAGTCCATTGCCCCAACACTCAGCCTCAGGCCACCCTGAGCTGCAACGGGAAGGAAACCACTCAGGAGCCAGTTGTGTTAAGGAGTGCACGCAGCAATATATTTTATTCCCTACAGACATAGTTTTAGCTAGCCCAGGTATCCAGGTTTTGAGCCTGAAGCAGCTTGAAGTGGGAAACATCACAGATTTGTACAACACAACATTCTGTGGCCAGGCACCTCACCAGTCTGTTCCTTGTGGCTTTGAACGACCTACACCAGCCCTGC